GTTATAAAATTATCACCGCTTGCAGCGATGATGTGGCTGGCGACGTGGGTAACGATGATGAGGATGGTCATGGCAGTGAAGATTACGACTGTCTGTGCTCGCCAGCATCATGTTCGCAATCATCACCTTTACTCGTCATCATGGTACTAGGGGACATAGTCTTTAGAAAAAGTCGCCACATTGAGTGTTAGTGCCAGTCGACGTGCTCGTCGTTGTAGCAGGAGTCGTGGTATGCAACAGGATCTGTTTCGTATGCTTCTGTCAGCCGATCACGTATCAATCCGTGGGTCCTTCCTGTCAAGTTTTGTGAGCCGATCTACAGCCTTAGGCTGCGCATCCGGATCAGTGTGGTCTGTCGGGAAAGAGCGCTGTGAGTGCTTTGCATTGAGCCCGATCGCTGTGCACTGTGCACTTCTGCTGCATAGTAGCAGCGACACTGGCACGAGCAGCAGCAGTGGATTGGCAGTCTCCGTACGTTTCGCTTGTCCTCGAGGGTTCTCAGTTCGGGTGGGCCGCCCATGTCCCACTTTACTCGGGAATACAATCTCCAACAACCTTAACCCGCCTCAGCACAGAGAGCTTCAATTGGTGGTGCGGTGTGCCAAACTGTCTGTAAACTCCGTGCTGTTCCCGTTTCGTCAGACCTAATACTTAAGGAGCGCGAGTGTGAGCAACCAGCCTCAGTTGCATCTCTTGTGCTTGTCGCAAGGTGCCTTCGAGCTCGGTGGTGGCTCGGGCGCCGGCTTCCAGGCTCAGTGGCTGTGTTCAGTTTCTCATGCAACCTGAGCGGCGGCGTACAAACGAAGACGCATGCGCATTGCGCATGGAAACAGAGGCGGCAATGCTGTGGCACTCGCATGCGAAGCGCGACTTAACCAAGAATTTTGACACAAAGTACCTGGTGCGCCTGAATATTTCCCGCTGCCTTTTGGAAGGTCATCTGCGAGGATCGAGGGATCGCCACACTTGGCGGAGGTGCTTGGTCACATGGAAGGTTTAGAGAGCTTCCCTTCTGAAAGGGGGATTCGGTCTTGAAGGTTCTCGTTCAGGAATCTGACAAAGGTTACGGTTTTGACTGAAGAACTGGTCGATTGATTGGATGGTTGATTGAATGATTGATTGAGTGGATGATGGAATGATTGTTTGTTTGATTGACTTATGATGATGATGGTGGTGGTGATGATGCTGATGATGATGCTGCGGCTGATGATGTTGTTTTTCCTTGTTGATGATAAGGATGAATATGCGGTTGTGCTGTTGTTGTTGTTGTTGTTGTTGTTGTTGCGCTACCAGCTCAAGCGGCCGCGAAGTTGTAGCCGTCGAATCACCACAGCAAAGCTTGTGGAGGGCCCAGCCTTTGAGATCCGAACTGTTCCCTGGCTCTCCAAGCACACATTTTCTGTAGTTCAGGCTGCCCATGGTACCGTCTCAGCTCCTGTGAGGAAGCCTCCGGTAGAGCATAAACTCAGTGGTGATACAGGAGCCATCCAAGGCTTAACCTGGAGCTGGCCCGGTCCCAAATCCGGGGGGAGCACCATTTTATTAGACCAGTTGTCATTGCTCCTAAGCGTGAGGGTTCCCGTCTTTCCGCGCGGTGGGGGAGTTCGATTTGCTTGCATTTTGGGTGTAACAAAGCGGATGGCACAGGATATTCGGAAAAAGTCGTACCGGCGAGCCTTAAAGGACGGTGTTGCGCAGCCTACCGAGGTGCAGCTTCACACAAGCATCCCGAGCACTGGCAAGTTCAGGTCCTCATTCTGCAGTCAGCACTTCAGCTTTTGGGGGTTGTAGAGGTAGCCTCCGACCCCTAGGCCAGCAGCTCAATCATACAGGGCGCAAGCATGCCCCGCAGGGCAGGGGCCTTTACAGCAGCATTGTCAGTCTTCTCCTGGAACGTTGGGGGCCTCAGTTCTCAACAGTGGCAGGAAATCCAGGAATGCATTCAGAGCTGTCCTTATCGTGCCATTTGCCTACAGGAAACACACTGGTCAGGAGTTTCTGAGTTTAGGGCTAGGGGCTGGCATGTCATCACAAGGCTATGTTCTGAAGGAGACTCTAGGCCGTCTCGCTCAGGTGGAGTCCTGGTTATGCTGCATCCTTCCATATCTGTTCAGGACTTGAGATGGATGCTGGTCCCAGGTCGCGCTCTAGCTGAGGACGCACCTTTTGAGATCACCGCCTGCTATCAGCACACAAAGCACCGAGGAGCCACTCAGCATGCCTATGTTCAGGCGCAAAGCACGGTCCTCGATGCCTTGGCCTCGGAGATACAGCATGTCTCGCAGCGCACGAATCTGCTAGTGGAAGGGGACTTCAACAAAGAACTCTTACCTTCGCCGGGTCCTCAGGGTAGAACGCAAATTGATTTCTTAGTGCAGCCTTGTCACAGGTCACAGCCTGATCCAAGCAGGTCAGGATCCACAAACACTTCCACCTAGGATCTTGGCGATCGGGTGGTAAGCACTATCCGCTCTCGACATTCATAATCCCGTAAACGCCGTGGTATACCGCGAAGCATAGTTCGGTTCCTTCAGTTTCCCGAGCTTAGCGTAATGCCTCGGCCCAGCATGTTAGCGCCTCTACACCTCAAGCCCAAGCTTTGCAGCAGGAGGTAGCTCAGCAAGTGCAGCATAGGCTGTCAGCATCCTCTCAAGCAAGCATGCACCCCGACGAGCTCGACGATATCATGCTAGAGGTTCGCTGCTATTGCTCGACTGTCGCGTTCTGCCGCTTGTACGCGCACACCCGCTGCTGCTCCTATTTAGCAGGCTCTAAAAGACAGGCGCCGGCTACACCAGCTGCGAGCGCGCAACCCTCAGAGTTTATTGCTCATTGCCCGGTACTCTGAAACACACAGACTGCTCATCGCCGTATCCAGGCTCCACAAACAGCAGGTCAAGGAAGCTCAGCAGCAACGGGTTCAGGCAGCTAGCTGTTCATGAAATCTCCTCTTCTCTTCAGCCTAATCCGTGCTTGTCGTACCAGCGCCTGAAGGCTATTGCTCCATCCGGTATGCCTCAAAAGTGCCCAAAGACGCATGCAGACCTCGGAGGAGGGACTGGCTTCCTTGGTTCAGTTTGGTACGAACCTCTTTGCCAGAGCTCCTCCTCTTCCTGTCAATTCCACTCCACTTCCCACGTTGACCGCGCGTCATCTTGCATTGCAAATTGCCACTATCAAGCCCCGCAAGGCTGTCCTTTCAGGCCCTGCTCCAGCCTCCATGTACAAGCTCTGCTCCGTCACCGTTGCCCGCAACCTTGTTGCGTACATGTTCTCATCCACACCTCCTCTCCCTATCTACACTGCTGGTTGTGAGGAGCCTCCGCCAGCAGTGTTTCGCCGTCGTCTGTCCTCTCTCACTCTACTTCTTACTCCCCCTTAATCACACTTCCAGACTCGGCTTCTTCTGCGGACTTGTGTTTTATCCCAAGCCGGCCATTGCACCGGACAAGCTTCGTCCTCTGGGCATTATCCGCCCTGACGGAAAGGGCATAGCCGGCGAAACTCGCCGACGCCTACAAGAGGCATTCAAGACCTTTCAAAGAGACAAGCCTCAATGTGCATACTCGCCAGGCCGAGGCATCGCGGATGCGCCGCTCCGCGTAATAGCACACATCAGAAAAGTCAAATCGGCACTGGCTTCGCTCACAGTGAGCAAAGAGTCTCAGCGCTTGCAAGGTACGCCCGCCCGGCCGAGCTGCTTGGAGGCAGTCTGGACCTTTCGCAGGCTTTTGATCGCCTCCGCCGTCAGGCCATCATCGGCGGGAGCCTTTCCTCAAGACATAGTTCTGGTTGTCACTTTGCACCAGGACTCGTCCTATAAAGTTCCATACGGGGAATGATGAGGGACACATTAACAACAGGAATCAAGCAAGGCTGCAAGCCGTTTCGCCTTCATTATGTGCGCTTGTTGTCTCCCACATCTTCAGCAAGGTAGGCATTGAGGTAGGAGCAAGCGAAGTACAGGCTTACTTATTCTTCACCGAGATATAAAGTCCTGCAGGACCTCCTGCACCCGCATAAGACAGTCGTATCTTTGCTCAGACATCTTCGAGAGGCGGGACTTCAGTTCAATCCACAAAAGTGCAACACCGTGTACCGCCTGCGCGGCAAGCTTCTTCAGAAGGCAAAATGCCTTTCCGAATATACGGAGATGCGTGACGGCAAGCGCGTCACGCTCTGGCCGGTAGCTCCAGCAAAAAGTGTCCTGCCAGCTCCACCAGTGTACATCGTCTCCTCTTGAATAGACAGGCTTCAGACTTCGTATGCTCCGATCTGCAGGCAGGCCGTCAAAGTCATCGCGGCCCGGTCCACACACCTCTGCAGATTCGATCGCATTGCCCAGTACCTCAGGTAGCTTGACATCAGAGCACACCGGCTCCTTGACGACCTGAGCATCTCATGCTCACTTTACGGCCCCTCGCCGCTGCCTGTGAGTGACAAAGTGTGGGACGCCACTGGACTGGCACTCTTGGACCCGGCTCGGCTGCGGTTCTCCAACGCTGAGTACGACCCAGCAGGCTTTGGTTGGTGAGCGTCGGACGCATTGGCTCTCGCTGAGGGTGACGGAGGCAATACATACTTTTCACTTCAATGACGAGGCTCCGATTTGTAGGCTCTTTAATTCAGTTGCTGCCATGCAATTCTATGTCAATCATCGTTACTACTGCGTCAGCTTGTCTCAGTTTCACATGAGTGCAGGTTTGGCAAAACGCCCGCCACGCGCAGAGCACGCTCGCGCCGTGTTCAATTGCAAAACTGTAAAACTGTTGTGGTGGTTGTGGTTGCTGGTTGTTGGTTGTTGGCTGTTGGCTGTTGGTTGTGGGTTGTTGGTTGTTGTTGTGGTTGTTGCTGCTGCTGATGCTGCTGATGCTGATGCTGATGATGGTGATGATGATAAAAAAGCCCCGCGGCTCACAGCAAGCGAGCCCTACTTGTGGTTTTTGGTCTTTGTTGTTCGGGGTCCTCGGGTTGCTTCGGCGAAGTGTATGGAAGATGCCATGGACGATATGCTGCAGGCCGAGCTGGAGGCGGAATCCAGCATGGAGCGTACTCCCTGGAATGAAGCCGACGGACCTACTCCTGCGCACCTTCTTGTGCCTAGGGGCCCTCCTCCTCCGGTTCCAGTTGGAGGATGGCCTGAGCCGAGCTCGCATAGGCGTGCAGATGATGGGCTCACACCTGCAGTTGCCTCAGACAGTGACTCCCACCCCAGTCAGCGATGGCCTGTGCTTCGCGAGCAAGATGAACGCGGCGACATGGTCACAACGCGTGTGCAGGGTCCACATCTGCCCAGTGGACGCTTTGAGGACAGCTCTTCGCCCTCCTCTGGTGGCTCCGACCTGCGGGCCCTCACAAGTGATGGCGACGACGACGGCGATGCAGCCTCGGATGGCGAAGCGGCTCACTCTGACACGTCTTGGACCTGGAGTGACACGACCCTCATCCTTGAGGGCTCTGACTTTCGGGACGCTGGAGAATATCTCATCGGCCAGTACCGCCTCGAGCTTCGGGACGTCCATGCCCATATGGCCAACCGAGTGGTGGGTGGCAAAGTGGCTGCCCTACGTCGACAGCTTTCTCGAGGGTTGGTGTCCGGGACATGGCTCGCCAAAAACTCACGGGAGACAGGCTGGCCAGGTAGGTGGACTACGAGCACGATGCCACCCACAATCGGGTACCACGTCGCCTTCGACGTGCAGCCCGAGATGATGTATGAGAGATGGCTTCTCCGCTCAGCTTGTCGGCTGCACGGTCGCCCCAGGAGCTACTGTGCACACTCCTTCCAGACCCTTAATTTTATGCACCCCTACGCTCCAACCCGACCCCTAACTCGTCAGCGAAGACGGCGTCTCCGCAGGATGCGCGCAGCATCTGCACTCACAGCCTCGCAAGCGCATCTGCCGCCAGGCCCGTCACAGACGAAGCATTCCACACGTAGGCCCCCCCCCGCCACGGGGGGTAGGAAGCTTAGTGCCCGTAAGTACCCTACCTTGCAAAGCCGAGCCGGTTCCAAATCAGGCATCTACCTGAATACCGCGCTGCTTCTGCTTTTGCATGCACAGGTAGACGGGGCGAGGGGGTTGCACCTGGTTCCGCGTCAGGTGCTCTACCTGTTCCACTGCCGCCACGTGAAGGTATCCGAACAGGGAAGACTCGCGGAGAGGCGCCTTCACGAGCAGCTTCAGGGGGTTACCCCAAACATGTTAAGAGGGCCTTTAAAAGGGCATGTGGTAGGGCAGCCAGATCAGTCTGTGGCGGGACATGGTATAGAGGGCGCTGGCATGATAGTCAAACCCTGCAGGCCCTGACCATACAACCCGAGCACCTCACCACCCGTTGTAAGCGTAGGCGCCATCAAGAACACAGTGTCAGCGCTACAGATCTCCATGTGCTCTCGTGGAACACCAGTGGACTCGGTGGGGGGCTATTTCAGGAATTTCAAGCCTGGCTCGAGACGGCCGATCACCCAGCGTATAAGCTGGTTATCCTGCAGGAAACACATTGGCACCAAACCCCGGATTTTTGCAGTGGACCATGGCAGTGTGTGCACTCATCCGGTCACAATGCGGAAGCCAAGCCCGACAGGTCAAGTGGTCTGTTGGTCATGCTGCACCGGGCTGCCTTCTACGAGGTGGCCGCGCAAGAGCTGCGCCCCGGTAGATTGCTTCTAGTCAGGGCAGTATATAAGCCTACTGCGCTCCCGGTCACCGTTTTTGCAATTTATCAACACGTGTGGCGTACACATCTAACAACTGCAGAAAACCTTCGGCTGCGGGAGGAAATTCTGCAATCCATCCGGGAAGTTCTGAGACGCACGCCAACTAGGCATCATGTTATCCTTGCCGGGGATTTTAACGGTTGCCTTAGTCCGGAACCTCCAGCTGTGGGGCATGCAGCCCCTTGTGCCCAGCATGACAATCATTGCAGTACTCTGCAGGCGCTGCTGGTTGAATTTGGGTTAACGGCGCTCAACACTTGGCATGCCAAGCCTTGGGCTACTTACCACTGCAATGGCAATGAGAGCCAGATAGATTACGTCATAACCCGAGCCTCAGATTCCAGAGGGGCTGCAAAATACTCCAAGCCGCTTACGCTTTTTCCTGTAGCGGGCTGGCGGCAGGCGGGGCACTGGCCAGAACATGCCACCGCGGGCCTACTGCCTTACCGGTCGTGTGCACCCAAGCTTCCGGATAAGACTGCAGCCTGCAACGTGCAGGCACTTCAGCAAGCTGTAGCATCGCAGTCGCCTGCTGCCCAGGCTCTTCAGCGGGATGTCGCTGAGCAACTGGCTCGCTGCGCCGTGCAGGACCCTGTCGTAGCACAACTTCAGATCAATCAAGTCCTGCTCCAGGCTGCGTGCGAGCACTTCCCGATACAGCCCAGGGAGGACCACCGTGTCAGTGCCCAGCCTGAGTACCGTGCCAGTGCCAAGCACACCTGGCGTTTGTATGCGCGCATGAAGGCACACGCCCATCCAACATTGCCCGTCATTTGGTTGAAGTGGCGGGCAGCCATCCGCTTCAGGCAGGCCTCGCTAGCCCTGCGAGCCCAAAGCCGACAGCTCAAGAAGCAGTTTCTTCTGACACAGGTGGAACAAGCGGCCGCAGCTGCAGCCCGAGGCGATCAGAGGTCACTCTATCAGGTTGTTCTGCGACTCACGCCCCGCTCGCACCGAGGTATTTCCCGTATGCTTGGGCCGGACGGCAAGCTGCTCACAGCACCCCAGGAACTCGAGGCCATAATCCGATATGGTAGTCGAACTTTTGCTGCGTTGCCGGACCAGCTTCAGTTATGCAGTACGGCTCATAACCTGATCATTTCAGACGAAGCCTTGGCCACCGAGCTTGCCCACCTCGGACTGCGCAAGGCTGTCCCAACCCATGTAGCACCGACTGCGGCATGGAAATTGTGCTGCACCTCCATCAGGTGCTTGGTCCCTCCTTGCGACGACACTTCCAGGCCCCGGGACAGAGGCCACTTCAAGGGGACTGGAAAGACTGTTACATCACGTGGATCCCTAAACCCAATAAGAAGCCGCTCTCTGTCTCCGACCTCCGGCCGATAGGCCTTCAGTGTCCGTCCAGCAAGGCCCTTGCTGGTGCTCTCAAAAGACATTTGCTGACTGCCCTCGAACCGGCCCTAGCTCAGCTACCACAATTTGCATACACCAAGAATAGGGGCACAGCTGACGCACTCCTTCGTGTGCATGCACACTTTGCAGAGGTTGCAGTTCTCCTTGAGCAAAATGTTGTTAATCGCTTTCACCAACATCGGGGCAAGCGAGCTGGCCGCTGCGTTGGGGGACGCAGCCTCTCATGAGACTTAACAAAAGCCTTCGATGGGGTTTGTCGGCCTTCAGTGTACGAGGCGCTCAGGGCACAGGGGGTGGCAGCAGAGGTCATCAATGCAGTCCAGCAGCTACACCTCAGGGCGGAGCATCATTACTCTGTTGGGGCGCACAAAGGCGGCACCAGCACCACCAACGGGATCAAGCAGGGCTGCAAAATAGCTCCATACTTGTGGTGTTACTTCACGACAGCATTCCTTGAGCGTCTCATCGCTGCACGTGATCTGCATTGGGTCCTTGCCACATTGACTCTTTTTGCAGATGATGTATGGGGCAACTGGGTCATTCGGCAGGTCTCGGACTTCACCCGTGCCATGCAGGACCTCGAGCTCCTACTGACCACCTTGGAGGCTATGCATCTACAGATCAACTTCAAGAAGACAGCCATTCTGCTTAAACTTGTTGGTCGGGGTGCTGAACGCGTGCTGTTGCAGCATACGTCCTATCAGGCGGGACAGCGGCGCCTCCACCTGCAGGTCTCGGGCAGGCGCTGTGTCATACCCATCCGGGAACAACACGAGTATCTAGGCACTGTTGTCTCTTACACCGGCAGAGTAAGCGGCAATGTCAGGAAACGCCAGAAAGCGGCACAAGGCCGGCAGCAAGCCATTCGGCGCGCCCTCAACGGTCAGCACGCTCTCTTGGCCGCGCACAGGGTGAGCCTCTGGCGCTCCTGTGTCTACACCAGTGCCTTGTACTCTCTTCCCTTTGTAGGCTGCCACGAGCGCAGCTTGGAGGCTCTGGACCGTGCCCTGGTCAAGCACCTACGCGCCATACTCAGGATTCCTGCTCACATCAGTCACATCACGAACACGGAGGTTTGGGCGCAAGCTCAGGTTGATCGGCCGCTTGTGGCGATTCTTCGACAGCTCAAAGCTCATGTTGACAAGCGTCGGGCACAGTATCAGACGGCCCCAGATATAACCGCTGAGGCCAAAGCGCTGAACTATGCCAGTGATCTGATCCGATTTTTTGAGTCTCTCCTGAGGCGGGAGACTGGTGCCTCGCCCGAGTCCGGTAGCATGATGGCCTCCTCCGCGCCCGTCCCCTGTACTGTCTGTGATAAGAGCTTCACCACCCTTAATGCCATGCGCATTCACTGTAAGCTGCAGCATGGCTACCTGCCGGAACACCCTAGGGTTCCTACCCGCTTCGATGCTGCCATGCACTCGGTAGGTGGCCTTCCGGAATGCAAACTGTGTAGACGGCGCTTCTTTAGGTGGCAGCAGCTACAGAAGCATATCGAGACAGGGGCCTGTTCGGCCTTGGGGGGCGTCCGGGAGGAAGAGGCCGCGTGCATGTTCTGACGCGGCTGCTAAACCGGAGCATGATTTGCCCTTGGTGCAACGTCCCTCCTTCCTCAAGGCGCAAGCTCGCTGGGAATCGTGGGCACTCAACTCCACGGCTCGAGCCCAGCTGCAGTCACATTGCGTACTGTGCAACATGTGGCAAGCCGACTCAAAGCATGTCAAGCAGCACTACCATCGCACACATGCACCCTCTCTTGGAGATCTCACTGCTAGGGTAGCTGCGCTCTGCCTCGCATTCAAAGCCCAGCTCTGTAGGGGACGAGCATGTTTGTTTTGCCGCACCAGTGTCGGAGCGCCCAAGAGGCACTCACAACAATGCGCAGTACTCTTTCAGCTTTGTCTCGCCCATCTGTATGTTCAGGACCACCTGGAGCCACATGACCGAGACAGTGACGGCGCCACCCACGGCGGAGAACCTCGAGGCGGACATCTTTCGTTACTGTTTTCCCAGCGGTGCCAATCCGACTCCGGCGGGAACGCAGCCGGCCCAGCTGACTCTCCCTCCCAAAGGAGGCCGAGCCAAGCGCCCGCGCCCAGAGTTCCAGAGCCGCCGCCAGGGCTACCAGGACCAGACGGCCCGTTATACACATCAACCGCCTCCCACCCTTCCCGAACATGTTCGTCTCCTCAGCCAGGTAGTGCTTCAACAGGCGGATGCCCTTCAGTTTCTGCAGCTGGACCGCGGACTGATGATGTTCCTGAAGCAGGATGCTCGCAGCATCCTGCCTGCTATGATGACTGATGAGCATGGCCAAGGAATGGCGGCAGAAGAAGGAGCAAAACTCCGGCTCTCACTTCGCCCCTTCGTACCCTTCTCCTTGCCAACCTGATCAAGGAGCTCCTTCAAAGATTACAGACTATTTCAGCAACCCCCGAAGGTCGCAAGTCGGTGCAGACAGCGGGCTGGATGGACGACAACGGAGATTGGTACTACGTGAAATGGTGCCACACAACGAAGCAGTTGCTGACGGACAAATCCCGGCCAGCCCTACAACACACGGAGGCGGTCCGCCTACTCAACATGCTGCACTCCAACATGAGAGGCGAGATAATACAGAACTTCCACAGCACCCAGACGATGCAGAGTCTGGAGGAGCAGGGGGCCACATCAGCAGCCTTCAAGCTGGAAGTCAGTCTACGAGGGCAGGATGCACAGGAAGTGCACGAAGCCCTGATCCGATTCGTCAACAACTCCGCGACGGGATTGATCGGCATGTCTCTCCGGAGAGAGCGTCGGCAGCGAGGACCAATGGTGCAGCAGCTGGCCAAGCTGACTTATGGCAGCTAGGGGGATCCACAGCCCGTGACGCGAACCCGGTCCCTCGGGCCGGCGATGCGTTCATAGGGCCTACACCTCAGCATCAGCCGCCTCTCTTTCGTCTGCTTAATCCAGGTAATCAGTGTTACTTGAATGCTGCAGTGTACAGCCTCTGGCTTGCCGCACGTGCTGCACCGGCCTCCGTGACCCTGCCTCAGGTGTTGAGGGTTAACAAGACTGGGTGCTTTCGGGCGCGTCAGCTTCTGGGGTTCCATCTTCTTGCCTGGCCACAGCCCGAGCGACAGCATGACATAGCCGAGCTTCTGGCGCATCTGCTGCCAAAACTGGCAGCCCAACTGGCCACAGGCGGGGTTGAAGCCAGACGGCTGCTGTCAGCAGGCTTGCAGAGGACGCTTGACACGCCAATCACTCAGTGCATTGTGCTTCCTGCTCCGCCGCGCCACACGGGTGACCTGCAGGATTTACTTCTTTTCTGGCATCGCCAAGACGCGATGCATGCACTCGACGCACTGTACCCATGGCTGTACCTTCAGCTGCCGAGGTTTGAGTGGGCGGGCCACCGAGCCCATAAAACCACCCAAGCCTATCACTTCGCTGACACGCTGCAGGTACCTGTGTATCAGAATGCACATGACCTCGAAGTGCGGTGGGTGCCTTACCGAACCTGCTGCTATGTGCAACATCATGGAGCTGCCCCAAACTCAGGCCATTACACAGTGATTCAGGCCAATCCGAGCCAACCGTGGCTGCTAGACGATGCAAAAGATCCGCGGCCCTTAAATGCACACATGTATGATCATGCTTGTCGCAACATGTATGTAGTGGTTCTCACTCTTGGTGGTACCAAAGCCCTCTACAGCTCTACCGAACCTTCATCTGCCTCCGTGGGACATGCCGACGCCCATCTATGTGCCGATCAACGATCTGCCCAGACAGGAAATGGACTGGCATGCAGCGCAGCTGTTCTTACTCGAGTACCAGCTGCGCCAGATCGCGGCGGACATGGCGAGTCTCAATCAGGTCTACCAAGACCTTCAGCATCGCTCGAGATGCGCACTGATCACTTCCTGTTTCCCCGACGTCACAACAAGTGTGCCGTGGAAAAGCAGATCGCTTGGTTTGATGAGCTTGATGAGTGACTGAGTTACTCGTCAAAGGCACTTCGGTGCAAGCTGCTCGAAAACGAGCATTAGTGCTGCTTCCGAGAGAAGCCGTCCATGCAAAGCATGCGATGTAACGGTGCCCGCTAGACCGGACTTCCTGGCTGCGTGAGAAGGATGATGATAAAACTTTCAAAGATGCCTAATTATGTTTGCCGTGATGATAACGACGATGATGCTGCTGCTGATGCTGCTGATGCTGATGCTGACGATGATGATGATGATGAGGATGATGCTTACAAAGATGCGAAACTATGTTTGCCGTGATGATGACAATGATGATGATGCTAGTATATTATAGAGCCCATTCTAAGCGGTCAGGCTTTTCTTACACCCCAAGCCCAACATCCGAGACCCACACAGCGGTTCTAGGCGGTGGTGGCGGTGCCTTCGGTTGGATGAAAGCTTCCGCATCGTCTGGATCAGGCCATTTATGCCTGGATTCTCGGGCTTTTGGGTTAGGGCTTGGGGACTGCCAGCATTTGATTCGTGATGTTTCTACGCGGTAACTAACCGTGTAGCCAGCAGCTACTGTTTACGCTTTCGTGTTTGTGTGTTGTCTAGGCTGTTGGAGCTGCGCAGGGAACGGTCTTCATCCCACACCACGCTGTGTTGATATGTAGTTTGCCTGTTCACATTCACTTGCTGCATCTTTGGCTCGTGCTTAAACAGTCCTGTTTATGACTACGTCCCACCAGAGAGAGCGAGTGCAGAGGGCAGAGGCAGGGGCAGGGCAGGCTACAGGTGATGCAGCATGTCTGCAGTCGCGGCAGTTCCTGCAGATAGTTTGACATGTCTATGATCCCTTGTACAACGCTTTACAGCCATAAGTCGTAGTTCAGCGAATTTTTATAGGGGTGCCCCGGTCTGGGCAACCGGGGGCGCCGGGGGCCCGAGGTCCGTAGCCATGAAGAAATTAAAGGAGGATTTTTGTTGGAAAGATGGGTGGGAAAACGACAACAGACTTCCATCCAAGTCGCAGGCACGCGCCCCGTGGCTGGGTGCTCAGACAAATTGATCACACTGCTCTTATCTCGCATTAGAGCTGAAGGCGGGAATCAACGAGCCTTACACGTGGTAGAACTCGTAACTCGGATGAGCAGGGAATCGGAGTCTTGCATGTTTGGTCATTGTCCGAAACCGCATTTGTCTCGAAATCCACGTAGCAGTGTTTGGCATTCACCTTGGCGGAAACTACTTTCCAGAGTCGGCTAGGAGGCCCTTCACGCAGCAGTTTGTTTGGGGAGCTGCTGACAACTCTAACATCCATAACCCCGAAATTGAGATTGTACGAACTGTGTGCAGGAGGAGAACGAGACAGTTGGAGGCTCCGCCGCTGCTTCCACATTCGGGCTGTTGCCAAGAGAGGGTCGGTGAAGTCAAGGGGAGGCAGGACTGCAATCGTAGTCGTAATCCTGCCCTCGAAGAGAACCACAAAAGGGAGAATGCGTCTCAATGCCAGGCTTATATATAGGGTTAAGGGAAGGGCTCGTAATGGGTGTTTATGTGATACCATCATACGACTATGGCACGCTATCCAGAGATCCTACCAGCATGCTATGCGCCCCACCTCCCTTGGCGACAGCTGCGATGCTTGCAGCTACAGCTACTGTTGTTGCTATTCTGTTCTCTTCTTACTCATCTTGTCGCCCAGTAGCAGTAGCGGCAGTACCGATGGTAATGTCAATCGTCATGAACACAGTGCACGCTGGCAAAAGCAAGTCATACTCCGAACCTAGCTGTAACCTCCCTCAAAACGAACCCTACAACTTGTCATGCTACAAGTAGTAATTAGCAGCACGATAGCCATGCAAGCACCTGGAAAAAACTCCTCCAACAGCAAACCTATCGAGGAGAGAATGCTACAGAAATCGGGTAATCATGGAACGACAACGAGACAAGACCTGTTTTTTTCACAGAGTGCTCTCGTCTTGTGCGATGACAGCATCCTCACTTCTGCAAGTTGCAACTGCCCCACCGAAGTCTCAAGCTGTCGACAGTGCGGAGGCTCATCGAAGTGAAGGTCTCCGATCGAAGTCCCCAGTGGCTCGTCCGTCAGAGATGCCACAAACACCCCTAAATCCAGCACCGAGTCAATTCTAATCCCACTCCCGGAATCGCAGGAGGAGCCGGAGGCGGGATGCAGATTTTCTTCCCTGCCAACGTGACCGGTCGGCCATGGGAGGCCCCACTTTTCGGACGCTGGGGCCCACTGTGACGAGGGTTCGGGACGACCACGACAACAGCTACTACAACTAGCACAACTGCTACATCCGAATGTGCAGCTGCTACCTGCTACAAATACGACTGCTACCACTACTTCTACAACTACTGCCGCTACGACTACTACGACTACTAGGACCTTTACTAGGAGTACTAGGAGTACTGCGACAACTACGGCAACTACTGGGCCGGGCACACTCGAGCTTGGCTTGGAGCTTTTGGAGGTCTCAAAGTGGGCGAACCATGCTGTTTTCGGGTTCAGGAGCGGGCTCACAGTCTCGACCTGCCTCCACAAGAAAGCCATGCACCGTATCCCCTGCAGCACATCCGACGGAATTGCACATGGTGCAACATTTCGTAGAATTGAATGGGGAAACCCGGGGTTCTGAGAGCCGGAGCCCTCATTGCTTCCGCTTAGCCTCCAGGCGGACCACTGGATCTCATGGGGTTCTGGAGGAGGGCATGGCTGCAACCCGCCTGGATTTTAGCCAGGGTTGGGCGGGGCGTAGAGCTCAGGTTTGTCAGCTTAATCCGGAAGCTTGGAAGGAGTGGAGCCGCTGCTTTGGGTTGTGCAAATTCGCCCTCAGACTCCGAGGCGGTTCTTGCAAAGCCGGCGACACATTCTGCGAGGTTGGAGCCTCAGCAGTTGCCAGCCCCAAACGTCGTCCAGAGAACGGCCAAACGGTGATGTTCCAGTGATGGTGTTATCCTAAGCTTTTGGCTGGTGTGATTCGGGTGGTACTTGTTTTTCGGCCACGGTCATGATGTTTCCGGTGATAAGTCTCACTACAAGTTCTGAGCATCCTCTTCTGTTGTAGCGTCCATTGGTCTCATCACCGCCTTGATTTGGGCCATCCTGGTGTGTTGCTGCGACTTCGGGTAGCCCCGGCGTCCTGACGGTGTTCCTGTTATTTATTAAGGCCTGTGTATGTGTTGTTTTACACAGCCAGTGGTGCAGGTGCAATGAATCCTGGTTCGACAGATAAGCGCGGAGTGTGGTTTTGAAGGGATCAGCTTTCGGGCTTTGAGATTTCAGGGTTGAGGGTTTGAGGGTCCGTATTGATACCGTCTACAATGGCTCTTCCTTGCACGAGGAAGCGCTTTTAGGTGCCCCAAATCCCCAAACAAGAACAGCTAGACTTGTAGATTATGCACGTGTAA